ATATATATATATATATTTATTTATATATGTCATTCCATGAAAAGTCTCACACTTTTGTCAGTTGAGCCCTCAAATACTGTTCATTTTTTGGCTACGTGTAGCACTCAACACCGGATTGTGAAATCAAAAGAGTTTACCTCAAGGTGAGCTAGAGGCTAAGTTAGATCATCCTAAAGTGCGAAAAAAAAACGAAACTTGTTCACAGTATGGTCACTTTCAAAAACTTGCAGCTTTCACCATTCACAATAGATCTTTGTAATTTCTTACTTAATTTGATACCCTACTCTTTGTAGATCCACGAAAATGGTAAAATGTACATAACCTTAATAAATTTTATTCAAAATTAAAATAAAAACAAGAATTCAAAAAGTTTTTTTTCAAAAAAATGAAATTTTAAATCTTTTAAAAAAGCAATATTTTTTGAAGAAATAATCTTTGCATAATATGTCAAAATTGCAAGGTGGTATTCTTCTGATAACACGAATTATGGTGTGGTTAGTTACAGTACACCGCAAAACACCCTTAACTGAAACAGCATTATAGCATTTTGCAAGTGACGAGTCTCTGTTTCAACTGAAATTTTAAAATTTTTATTATAACGATATAAATAATTCTAATAAAATTCTTCAACTCTACCACATCAACAATAGATAATTAATTGAAATTTTTTACTTTTAAACAATTTCACAGTTTCTTCAAAAAAAAAATTACTGTTATGATTACTCTTTTGATTTGTATCGCCTTGCTTCCTTGTTGAACCCTTATAACCCAAATATTTCACGCTCAATACTGTTTTTTAATTACCAATAATGTTTTGCTATTTTTGTTCCTAGCGCTTTGTAGTATAATGCAATAAAACTTTTCAACCACCCGTCCTCCCCCTTACACAAATCAAGTCCTACTCCAAATTTGCTCTGTGAAAAACTTTTCCCCGATTCCTCTTCTACACTTTGTCTAAGTGGATCTGTTAGCATTTCATAAATTTTACGGGGTATCTTTGACAATTCAGCATCTGAATTCCTCAAAAGTTTTACTTGGTTGATACTTTCTTTGCAGAACCCATCTTGACCGCCTACTTACTCAACACCCAAATTTCTTGTAGTCAATTTTTAGCATTCGCAACTTTCCTAAAGCGTCCAACCCCACTTTTGGATACTTATAGGTATTTCTTTTACACTACTGTGTTTTGCTAATGACCAAAGCAAAAAACTGTTGCACACACTGCCTTCAGTTTCATTTGCAAAGATTGCTTCATTTTCCCAAGAACCCTTTTTCTCTGTCTCCTGCTAACTTCGAATAATGCCTCAGCTTTTGCAATGCTTTTCAGTAGTTTTCAAGGAAGCATAACTGGAATTGTG